TACTTTTATATGGTGTCATAAATCGGGAAAATCGGACTTAATACTCAACCATCTGATATATATTGGACAGTAAATCGTACAATCAGAATGGCAGTCTTCTTGGATAAACCAAAACAAATGGTTTTGACTGGTAATCTGGCTGAAAATTGGAGACACTTCAAGCAGATGTTCGATTTTTTTCTGGTGGCTCCAGAAAAATCTGAAAAGTCAACACAAATCCAGATCAACATTCCTATGGCATGTATAGGAGAACCTTGTGTACAGATTTATAACAGTTTTGTGTTCAATGAGGATGCTGATAAAACGGATTATGCCAAAGTTTTGCAAAAGTTCGATGATTACTCCGAGCCCAGGAAAAATATCACAATGGTTCGTCACAAGTTTCTTACAAGAACGCAACAGGAAGGAGCAACTTTTGACAGTTTCGTTACAGACAAAGGTAAAAGCCAAAGACTGTGAATTTGGTTATCAAGGACATGATAATCTGTGGTATAAACAATGATAAGCTGCAATTGCGTTTACTGGAAAAATCACAACATGTAGATGTGTTTACGTTAGATAAATGCATAGAAGTCTGTCAGGCTCATGAGTTCTCAGAGAGAAATCGTAAGGACATTCAAACTCCAGCAGCAGCGGCCGTAGACTCTATTAAAAACAAGCCCCATAAGAAGAGCTTCAAATCTAAATATCGCCAAGATCATTCTCGCCCTGACACGTCTCATGCTCCCTGTACGGATTGTGGTAGAAAACATAAGCCCGACAAATCTCAGTGCGCAGCTTTGGGTAAGAAGTGCAATTACTGTCACAAGACAGGACATTTTATAGAGTGGTGCCGCAAGCGTAAGTTCACGAACTCTAAGAAAGTTGATGCTATCGACCCGGATTCAGACAATGATCCCGACTGTGATCAATTTTTCGTCTACTCTATCGATCATAATGGAAACAAAGATGGAATATATCTGCAGGCTAAATTGTGTGATAAATCAGTCAAATTCAAATGTGACACTGGAGCCCATGCTAGTACTATCCCATTGGATATATACAAAAATCTCAGAAGGAAGGAAACTCACACAAATCTTGTTTCATACTCAAATCACAAGATTCCGTGTGAAGGGGAAGTATCTATTCCTATAACATGTCACAGTGGTACGTACAATGTCAGATTATTTATCGTAAATCAAAAGTCAGAACCAATTCTTAGTTTACAGGATTGTCTGAAAATGAAATTAATATCCCCTATGTTTTCAATCAATTCTGGCACAACACCCGAGGAGATAATTGAGAATCATAGTGCAGTATTTAGTCGATTAGGAAACATTGGAAAGGTGCATATAACTATGGATGAATCCGTACCCCCAGTAATTCATCCTCCACGTTCATTCCCATATGCGCAACTCCCAAGGATAAAGGAAACTTTGGCTGACCTTGAAACCAGAGATATCATCGCCAAGGTTACAGAACCAACCGATTGGGTAAATTCTATGATAATTGTTGAAAAGTTTGATCGTCTTCAACTTGTTCTCGACCCCCGGGATCTGAATAAAGCCATCAAACGGCAGCATCACCCATCAAAGATCAGATTGCTGCAAATCTGAAACACTCCACCGTGTTCACTACTTTGGATGCAAACGTAGCATTTAACCAATTTTAGCTTGACGAGAAAAGCTCATTTCTGACTACAATGAACACCCATTTGGACGTTATCGTTGGAAACGCCTACCGTATGGACTAAATCTGTGCCCCGAAATTCTGCAAGCCAAAATGGAGCAAATATTTGGCGATATTCCAGGTTGTGAGGTCATAATGGACGATTTACTCATTCATGGCAGTGATATGGCCAAACACAATGATGTATTAACTGCCGTACTTGGACGCGCCAAAGCCTCAAATCTCACGTTGAACAAGCGTAAAATTAAGCTGGCCAATTCCTCAGTTACCTTTGTAGGCCATACATTTGGACCACATGGGATGAGTCCAGATGCTTTGCAAAATTGAGGCTATTCAAAACATGCCACCCCCATCAGACAAGGCAGGATTGCGTCGTTTCCTAGGCTCCCTCAATTACCTAGGAACGTTTATCCCTAATCTCTCGATGATCAACGCCCCCCTACGTCAGCTCCTAAAGGATGATGTCCCGTGGAAATGGGACGCAAATATGGACAAATGCTATGATCTTTTGAAAAGTAAGCTTTGTGAAGCCCCAGTTCTAGCTTACTATGATGTTGACAAAGCAGTGACCATATCGTGTGATGCATCTAAATCCGGTGTAAAAGGGTAGGAGGTCCTATCAAATTATGGTCCTACTTTCCATTGATTTACATGGTGACCTAAATACAACTCTTTCCCTTATTATCGTATCCACAATCAGGGCCAGTAAGGGCCTTTAAGAAAGGGGACCATAAGCCCAAGGGGGCCATAATTTCTTTTACACCGGCCTAGGTGGCGCTTTATGGCAAGAAAATCACCCAGTTCATTATGTTTTCAAATCCCTGTCCCCTGCTGAACAAAATTATGCCCAAATCGAGAAAGAATGCCTCGCAATTTTGTTCACAGCAACCAGATTGCATACATACATCTATGGTAAGGATGTAAATGTACTCACAGATCACAAGCCCTTGGAAGCATTATTTAAGAAACCCCTATCTATCTTCTGCACCTACCCGTCTACAAAGAATGATGCTTCAACTTCAAAATTACAACTTGAAAGTTACGTACACCCCAGGCCCCACACTACATGTTGCTGATATGTGTAGTCGAGCCCCAGTTGATAAACCCAACCCTGAACCACCCCTCGAAATTCATGATATCCAAAATCTCCCTATTTCTGGACCACGACTAGCTGAGCTCAAAGCTGAAACAGAGAAAGACATTGTTCTCATGAAACTCAAACATGTAATACTCAATGCTTGGCCCAGCTCACGTCAACTATGTGATTCTGAGTTACCACAGTTTTGGAATTATCGCGACGAGCTCACAATTCTCGATGGATATATTATGAAAGGCAGTTGTATTGTAGTACCCACTTCCCTGCAGGATTTCATGTAAGACCAACTTCACAGTGGCCATATGGGTATTGAGTGTACTCGTAGACGTGCTCGTGATATTCTGTTCTGGCCAAATATGAATCATCAGATATCTGACATGATTGAAAGTTGTTCCCCATGCCAACAACACAGGAAAGCCCAATCAAAAGAGCCCATGAAATGTTCAGAAATTCCCTCTGTTCCCTATGAAATAGTTGGATCAGATCTATTTCAGTTCAATGAGCATCACTATCTATTGCTGGTGGATTATTATTCAAATTTTGTTGAAGTGAATAAGTTGCTTGACTTACATTCTAGTGCAACTATACAAGCATTGATAAGCACAGTTCTCAAGACATGGAATTCCAAGAAAGTTTCGTTCTGACAATGGCCCTCAGTATAATAGCAAGGGATTTGCTGAATTTTCCACGAAATATGAATTTGAGCATGTGACATCCTCCCCACTTTACCCCAAGGGGAATGCAAATGCTGAACGCGCGGTCCAGACTGTGAAAAACATTCTAAAGAAAGCCCATGTTGACAACCGTGACCCCTATCTGGCCTTATTGGAATTTCGTAACACCCCTCGAGATGGACTCAATGCATCCCCAGCCCAACTCCTAATGTCTAGGAGGACTAGATCTGTCATTCCCTTGCAAACAGATCTTCTCAAGCCAACTGTCCCTGAAAATGTGACGGAAATTCTACGTGACAGGAAATGGCACAGAAACGCTATTATGATGCTAAAGCAGGCCACGACTTGCCTGTACTCAAACCAGGACAATCTGTTAGATACAAAGCATCAAATGATAAACTAAAGCGTGCAACTGTCATAAAACATGCGGATTCACCTCGCTCATATATAGTGCAAAATGAGCTGGGAAATAACATCAGGAGGAATCGCAAAGACATATACAAAACAAAGGAACCCATACATATGGAATTTGGAGATGACCCCCTAAGCACCACTCCAGTGCTTGAACCCCCACAATTAGAATCTGAGAAATCACCATGTCCCACAATAGACAGAAACACATCCCCAGAGCATCAATTACCATTACCAGTAGTGAAAAATAAAATCAACAATCCACAATCACCACTTGTCACAAGAAGTGGCAGACAAATTGTCAAACCAGTGAGATACAGAGAGTAATCTCAAGACATATGTTTATATGCAACATGTAATGTGTAGTTATACTTTGCAACAACGAACATTGCTATAACATTTTGATTATTCTGATATATACAAATATAGTCATGTTTGTTATTAAACAAATTTATTATTGTTATTATTGGCAAAAGAACAATTGAAAGATTTGCATTGTAAGTTTATCTAGCTAATGCTAATAGGCATTCATGTATAAGTGCAAATGATTATTCTGCAAACTTGATTTGACATTTGATTTTCCAGAGTTCCAGTATTTTTAGATTAGAGAGACATCTATTCTAGTGATAAAAGTTCATTTTATTTTTCAACAACATTCAGTGTGTTTCTAATGTACATTTTGCATGCTAACCCTTTCAAGACTTGTTCATCACATATGTTGTAAATTAACCCTACAAGGCTTGAAGGGAGGTGTAATGGTATTAATTATTTAGAGTGATTTCGTTTCACCTATTTCGAATGTAATTCTGTATTAGAAAGAATATAGATGGCACTTCATATTCACCCAATTCTCGAATTCTGTTATACTTTTATAGGATAAGTTAAGTATCCCATTGGATATCGTGCCAAAGACTACTAAAGTTTCATTCTTAACTTGTAAAGAATTTGAAAATCTGATGAATTTGTCAAAATGAACATGCATTTCTTAAACCAAAAGTGGGTCGTTTTCCAAGTTTTTCAATGTAGTGTCATAGAGAATTACATACATATATAAGGAATAAAAGATACATGAAACAACTAGCATAAAACCTCGTACCTCTCATTGAAATTCTGGTAGAACAAGGACCGTATGTTGGAGTTAACCCACTGTATCCCCTCAAACATTCGATTTTGCATTGGCGTCCGTCTGCTGTGTAAGCTTTAGGTCGATATTGCTCACTTAGAGTTTGTCTCTTTTTACGACCTGCAGTGACGTACCTTGTTCTTGGGCGACGGGTTGGGAAGTATCCAATATACTTTGGCTGGTTTGATGGCCTCGAAGATCGTGGTATATTATAGTAATTGTTGTAATCTCCAAAGTAGTAGGCTTGGTTTCGCCCTTTATAACTTACACCGTCCGTTTCGAGATAGACCCCGTTCACACCGTAGTTTTGGTTCCCATATACAGACCGGTCACAGTAGATCACTGCAGGGACTAGTGCCGTATCTTCTCCACAGTTATTTGAACTTATGTATGGTTTACAGCGATTGTCCACCCTGTCACAGTACAAATTTGGAGTGTTACCGCAATTAGGACATTTTGGACGGCGATCACACTTATAACACCCTGATGTAATAAACGTACTCAATCCTTCAATATTTTTGACCGATGCGACAAAGTCACTAAATGGCTCCATCAACGCTTGGGGATGATGGGGTGGTTGTCCAAAGTTAGCTGGGTACTCAGTGTCTATATTTGTTTTCTGGCTGTCTTCTCTAAATTCCTCCCAGATACAGTCAATATAGGCATGATGCATCCAGAAAATAGGGTCATTTGGTGAGAAAAAGATATTCCCCATTTGTCCGCCTACATAGTTATGTGCGTATCCATGAAAAGTCTCCAACAGCCTGCATTGAAAACATGCTATTTCATCATATCTTGTTCTGTTTAAAACTCTCTGGATATCAGCTGGCGTAGTGAGTTGGTTTGGGATGGTTTGAGCAGCGCGTGTAAGTTTTCTACCATCAGTAGCGTCCCAGTTGGCAAAGGGCCCCGTTGTTACATCACCATCACCGTTGCCCATGAACGTTGGTCCCCATAGATTTGACAAAAGAGGATTTGATAAACCTTGTTCAATGGTTGAGTCCCAATAAAGTAAGGAAACTCCCGACCTTTTTTGCTTCAATGCAATTTCAAACCTGCAATTGTTCATTGTATTCTTCTTTACATTGGCTGCTACAGTACTTATGAAGTTTTCAATTATTCCACGCACGGACAGTTAAACATATTGCGTTATTCTTACCGTATGTTACTTTAAAATACATGCTAAACACAGTGTTTTAAGATTCCGAATAGGGACATAACATTCAATAATAGTCCTCTTTTAATACGAATGCCAAAAATGAAAAAGGCATACATAATCAAATAGATCCTATGCCAGGGTAGAAAAGCTGCTCCCCCATGTGCTCCCAGTGCAACAGATGCATGGTGAAATGACACTAATGTGTCGTATTTGTTGGTAGTACCAAGCGGTCCCGGAAGCATGTCCGTCTTGAGCAGGTTGATAGCTGCGTGGAATTCTTTCCGTTCAGACGCTGTTGCTACGCGATATTCTTTCCGTGTACCGATTGGGAACTCATGACATTTCCTCGATGGCTTTATATCAAATCAAAAATAGAGTAATTGATAAAAACATTGAACTCTTATTTACATTTCTTCCTGTGTAGGTAGTATTAGTGGATTATCTTTAGATTGCATACGAGATTACCATGTTATGTGAATAATTAAGGCTGTTTTTAAAGTTGTTATCAACTCCCATTAAAATATCAGGTTACACCCATATTATAACATAGTGCAGATAGTCAGGATTAGTAAGTTTAAAATCTAACTGCAGAATATGAACATTAAAACATTGGAAGTTGTACATAGCAAAATTGGAAACAATACATTTTCTCAATCAATATGAAATGTGAGAAAATTGATGAGCTCTGTGAAAATGTCCAAAATTCTGTTATTTTGGTTGTTCCATCAATCTGCCTCTTATTCATACTCCATGTCCCTTTATAAATGCACGCGTGTGGTTTAGTTTCAAAAGTTTGAAATATAAATAGTACACCGTGATATTTTATTTGTCGTCAAGCCACGATACGTCTTGTATGTAATTGATTTTCATAATTTTGGAGTGACATTTTTCACTTCAACGTTCATATTAAATATTTGACTCTGATAACTACCTTGGATCCTTTTAACGCATCAACTAGATGGTTTAAAAGTCCTTTTAACCAATTCGACTGGCTGCTTGTGAAACCTGACCCTCCACCTGTCTTGTTCGCTGCGTTAGACGACCATCTGTACATTTGATCACACTGCCATACATACTGCTGTATGCTCAATCCTACGTCGAACAAGAATGAACTAACAACGGATATAAAACATTGGAGGTTACCAATATGCCACCACGTCTTGGTGGTAAGATAAAAACTTACATTTGTAATTTCTAAACAAAACGTTCAATGGGTCCGAAGTAACATTTATTTGAATATATATGCACAATTGCCAAAGGGAAAGTGTTATAGAACAGAGCAAGAAAGATCATAAGGAAAACAAACCCCAACTATCCCAAACATTGTATAATACCCCCTCTCCCATCATCTAAACTTTACATGTTACCAGTAGGTAAAAATCTAATCGAAAGAAACACCGATATTCTAAATTTATTTCTCAACTGAATTAATATAAAGCCCATTTTAAACAAGACAAACAGCAACCCCGAGGAGTAGCAACTCCCACCGAAAAAAACGTGTTTTGAGAAATAGCCGCCATATGGAATTTGAACCAAATCCTTCCACCGGTATTTGAGTTATCAAAGATTATGTCTTTTATGAAACATGGTGGCCATTTTGAAATTCAGCTGCCACCTATAAATTTTTTCTTGAGCAGATCTCCCATGTCCCTGGGCATCAGCATATCTTTGATCCAAAGAGAGAATCAGAGATAGCGAGCAGACTAAACAAAAAATTGTTTCAATTTTAGAAAATTTTTGGCTCATGTCATTCCTTGTCATGTCTATTTTCTAAAAATCACAAAACCGCATACTTTATTCAAGGAAAACTAAAGATTTTTACAATAATGTATTATTTTTCTATAAGAATGGTTACCATTCTTATTATTTGGGAGAATTTAAACATTTTTCACCAATTTTTGCACTTTGAATCATTAATAACTTCACCAATTTATAACATATTGTGAATCTTTTGGGAGATATTGTATTTGATATTGTAAGGAATAGATTGGTAGGTCAATTATACAAGTTGCTTGTAATTTTGTCACCTCATATAGATCTGATTCTGCCTTTAAGTTATCAAAAATTACATTTTTAATGAAAAATGACGAAGATTTTGATAAGCGCCCATCTTGAAAATTTATTCTCGAGCAGAGCTCCTCTATCTCTAGGCATCAGTATGAGTGTACTATCCTTACTAGTTTGTTAATTTCGTGGTATGACGAAAGTATTTCAATTAAAAACATGTTTGGGGACTTCAATGGTATACTACAGCACCATTTCTGGATAGAATACTCTAATTTGCAGACATAAAATGCCCAGAATAACTGAAAAACATGTGATCGTTACAGTGAACGGTAAAATATTTGGTATTATTTTCTGCGGATGGATGAGCTTGGTAGTGGTGAATTGGCCAATGTACATAAATATGATGGAGTTTTGATACTCCAACTGTGTAAGAGAGCAGAACTTTTGATTTTCATGGGATATTTTTGTTGATTTTTTTTTTACATGAAGGTAAAATGTTTTGCTGTATTTCTCTGAAATCCATTTTGAATTCAGCTGATGCCTTTGACATTTTTTCTGAAGCAGATCTCCTTCTTCCCTGGACATGAGCATATAAAATTGGAACCAAGTCCAGCCAGTGGTATTTGAGATAAATGTTTTTTTGCGAAAAATGGCGGCCATTATGAAATTCAGTGGCCGTCTTGAAAAGTCTCTTGGCATCAGCATATTGAATTTGAACCAAATCCGTTGACTGGCATTTGAGTTATCAAAGATTACGTCTTTACTAAACAGAGCAGAACAGAGGTCCTACAATACAAATACGGGTATTTAAGTTATCGCCCGGACAGACTGACGAACGGACGGAAAACGACTATTTGTTTGAACTTACCTTTGTAAGCGTTTTGTTTGTTAAGTTTTTCATAGGTATCCGCACAGTCCTTCCTACTGTACGTTTTATATCCTCCGATACACGGACCTCTGAACACCTCTCCAGAAGGAATATATCGAGTTTGGGAGGACGTTCTTGCATAGGCGCTAGTTATTAGGACAACTAGCCCTGTAAGTTTTACCAATAACATTTCTCTGTAGGAAAATAAGTACAGAATACTGTATACAGGGCGTTCATAAAGTTCTTGCAAAAGTACTCTAATTTTTTTGTTTTTCAGTCAATCTGGCTGGAATTTTCACTCAGTATACCTACACTATTCATACAATTGATACTTGAATTATAATGAATAGATCCTTGAAGAAAAAAACTTATGATTGCTATAGTAACACTAGTCGGGGGTAGGCGGAGCAGCATTGAAAATAAGAAAAAATTTAGATAAAAATATGGGTAAGGGGTAACTTTAACATACTTTAAAGTATCCTTGAAGATACAAAACAAGCTAATGTTGCCATGTAAACACTAGATGATGTCACATGATGACATTATAGTTGAAATTTCTTTGATTCATGACATCACTCATGTTATCATAGTGACCTATATTGGTTGATGACATCAGACTTTGTGAAAGGCAGCATCAATTTTATTTTTGTGAACTTGGCTGCAAAATCAGCAAACGAGGATGATCTGCAATTACAAATATTCAGTAGCATCGGGATGTATGTTTACTGGGAAATTCAAGAAGACAAACACTTGAAGATATACATATGTTGTATGGGAAGGAGGCTATGGTCAAGAGAACAATTTACAAAACAGACTAAGACATTTACTTATGGTAGAACAAATGGTAAGGACAATGCTAGATCAGGCCGTCCAAGAACAAAATCCAATGAGGATCAGATGACGTTGATGAAAGCCATCCATACAAAGATCAATCGCAATTTTTCAACATGGGTTCACCGAAATGTTTGGATGGGGAATGGAAAGTAAGACAGCAGAAGTGTATAGACCATTATAGACACTATTTTGAACACCTATACTCTTGATATACTGTTATTAAAGTAAATAGGACAAGTTAAAAACATTTTGAACATTCAAACAAAACAGATCCCTTTTACCTGCTCCGCCTACCCCTGACTCATGTGACTATAGCAACCATGACTTTTTTTCCTCAAAGACCTATTAATTATAACTTAGGATCTCAATGTATGAATAGTGTAGGTATACTGAGTGAAAATTTTAGCCAGATTGACTGAGATACAAGCATTTTAAGGGACTTTTGCAATAACTTTATGAACGCCCTGTAAGTGGTAATTTTGCCTAATCATTTAATTTGCCTATTTCCTAATTTTTGCCAGGTTCGGAAAATTAAATGTCGGAAATATTGTCTTTATAATGTTATCCAATGGGAGGTTTCTTGTAATTAGGAAAATTAAAATTAGGAAAATGATGAAATTTTACCATTCGGAAAATTAACCACTCGGATTAAATACCACTTATACAGTATACCATTCGATTTAACTACAATTATTTAGCTTAACCTGTTTGCCGTATATATAACGAATTTTCGTCAACAATTTTCGCGTAACAAATCACGTTAAGTTTCCAAGTTTGCATGCAGTATTCCAATAACTTCCACAAAATGTGTAAGTATTCACGGAACTTGTGAACGTGTCAAATAAATTCAATAGAAACTTCAGGGGCACTCCAGGATCTCCTGTAGTTCATGGGCTCTATTTACAACCATAGACGATTGTCAAAACTACCTCATTAAATTGTCTTCCAATTCAATGACATTACCGTTCATAAAGAAGAAAAAATGATTTCCTAGCAAATATTGTATTTTTCTCTATTTAAACAATAGTAACATAATTTTTCGTTTAGAAAAATATACTTACATTCCACCCGATTTAAATGTCGCAATGTGAGGAAATTGTTTGTGCAACTTCATTTTATATTATTGTTTACACTATAAAATGAAATCAGTCGTATTATTTTACATTATTATTAATTTTATTCGTAAAAATGAAACACGTTAAATAGGAAGTGTAATGTTTTTCTTGAAAAAGTCAATATGTATATCTGGATAAAACACATGATGGGGCTCAACAAACATATATAACAAAACAAATTACAAACGCTAAGTATATATTAGATCGGTAATAGTTTTTTCTCAATAGGTAGATTAGCTATCGACCGGGGAGCAACTTTATTACAATAAAATTGCTACAACAACTAACTAAACCATCCCGCTGAGATATTTAGGCCATGTTGAAGTATTAAAGTCCGCGATTGGACAACTGCATCACGTGATCAGGACCCCTTCATTCTGGTTACGTACACAGGGTGTGCTGGTGTGATGCTAAGTGCACAATATATTGATATGTCGACAACCTATTCAATATTATGAACAAAACATATATATGACATATTGCTCATAAAATTTAATAATAGAATATGTTTTTGAAATGTTTTGTAATTCTAAAGTATATAAATTATTAATATGATCTGGGATAAATTATCAGTCTATATTTCAGCAACACATAGGCCTTGATTTGCATTTTCGAACATTTTTTCACACATCTCATTCACTAAAATAAATGAAAACTGGTTTTCAATATTTTTATTTGTCTTTGTATTACTGAATTCTTGTTCGGACATGTGTAAACAATGACCAGGTTCAATTTTGATAGAGGTTGTAGAATATGTCACCCAGTTGTTTTAAGTGGGCTCAGAGTTGTACACTAGACAAACAGGTTGGAATTAACACATAATAATCAGCGATTAATTTTTTAGAATAATCATTAATAACCAGACACAGTCTGATCCTGACCTAATTATAACTTTTAAAGGCTAGATACAATGGCAACAGGCATGGCCTGGCGATAATCACTTTTTTCTTTACTGAATAACCGACCAACTGATTATCGTGATTGATTAAACTTCAAAGGGCTAATTACAAATGACACTGCTGGAATACAATCTCTTGTCTAAATAAAATGATCAACCTGTCTGTGATAAGAAGTATAAAGGAATTTAAAATGTATCTAATATATTATACAATTAGACAGACTGGCTATTTTAATCCGTTATGAAAAGCCATTTGTCTTTTCCACAACAGGATGTTTCTACGGAAGTTAATTTGTTTATCTTAGTGTTTAGAGGCATTGTCCCTTGACGCTTTAATGAAATAAATGAACTTTGTGATGGACTACAATTGTATATTCTTACAATATTTTCATTTTAGGTCTTTCTTATTACATGTAGTTGCATTGCAGAAGTCTAATGTTATTCTCTCCGTGTGCCGAAGGAACTTATACCCGTAGCCAAGGGGTGGGGTGGTTCAAGGAGTGCGAGTGAACAGAATTCGAATTGAATACAAAATAAATACGTAACATATAAATATATAAGTACATAATGTCTAGCCAAGTCTTCTTACATTTTCTGAACTTCAAATGCACCTTTTGACGTGTGGTAACAAAATACAAAATAAATACTTATGTTTCTCCAGCTTGTTTTTATATTAATTTGGCAATAAAACATGCATAAAGAGATAACAAATTGTGCACTGTGCACAACCCGAATCCCCTCCCCGATCAGGTCGCGTTTACTGTGTATGTAATAATGTACAAAAGTAATGTAATAAAGACAATAATGCCCCCCCCCCCTATTGCAACATTTTTCCAATTAATAGTATTAGCTCGGAGCATCAACACACGTTTGATTGAAATAATTCAAATCAAAGTTCAAAATGAATAAAGATAATGAAGGTTCTGTTTAAAATTCTAGAACAAGAATTTGTCCAGTCAAAAACAGATTTCTAATATTTGATCTTGATTAGATGTATTTATTGATCTTGTTTTTAAAACTACAGATGGTTCACTCAATTCTGAAGTAAACAAAAAATAATCCTATACACGATTACTTGGTTCCCATGATACTGCCTATAAGCTATAATACTCATTTATCAAAACAAATATTAATTAATACGTCCGTCTGATTACATTTTGTTCCCTTGCTCAAACTAAGCAAACCCCGATTACAGTTCTTAATTCTTCACTTGAAACGATTTAGCCAACATGATACAATATTAAATTTGATTAATTATACACGTATAAAGCCTAGTGTTATCAAAACCCATAAATGATCACAATATAAATATAGTTTATTGTTATAACACAATAACAGATATCAGGGGCGTAGCCTACTTTCAGTCAGGGGGGAGTGTGATTGCCAAAAATATTTCGGTTTTCAGTCGGGGGGGGGGGTGATTGTGACATAAACAAGGGGGTGCGATTATGACATAAACAAGCCAAAAATGATTTTTATATTGAATTTTACAAAAACTGGATGCAAGTTCCTTCCAAAGTGAGCTAGAAGCTTCAAATAAAAAGCATTTAAAAGCTCTTTGAGTCCTCTTTCTCAGGGTTTTTAATCTTTATTGGTTTTCGCAACCCCCCCCCCCTCCTCCTTGGCTTCGCCTATGGATATTTAGAAAGTTTCAATTCAATAACTCGGCAACCAACCACGCAAGTAACCAACCAAGCAAACGACCATCCAAGCAAGCAGGAAACTAAGCAAGTAAAAAAGCAAACCATGCAACTTACAAATAAAGCAAGCAAACAACCGACAAACCAACCAAGCAATTAGCTAATTAAACTCTAATGCAAGAAACCAAGGAAGCAGCAAAGCTACAAAGAAAGAATGTTAACAAGTAAACGGCCAATCAAGCAATCAATCGTGCTAATAAACAAGCAAACAAACAATCTACCATCCAAGCAACTAATTAACATAATTCAATAAGATTAAAATTTAACCTTGCGCACATTTGCTCTACGGTAATAATGAGTAATATAGAACTATCATATTGATTGCATTTATTAAACACAGAAATGAAACACATTGGAGCATACATGTAGTTAAATGATTGGGTATGGGAGGGGGTAGTGAACACACGGGATACTGAATTCTTCCTCTTAAACTTAATTTTCAGTGCTTGAATGATGGCTTCCCTTTAACAGATTTAGGGAGTTTCACTACTAGTTTCATTGAGATTGAAGTTTTTCAATTGCCTTTGTTATAACATCTTATTTCAATACACTGGATATTATGTAAAAGTATTGATGTGTATTTCTTATTCCCGACAATCGAATTTCATATCAAACATTTTAATTATAGTTTTACAGTGGTATCACAACGTTATTGCTTCTATAAATGCAACACATTTACCAGAATTTGGATTGGACTTTCTACACGATGATAAAATATTTTCTTGGTGATATTCTTTAATTACTACTAATTAGTATAAACTATTGATTGGATTGCAGAAATCTGCTGCATTATAATTGCTAATGAAAAATCTCGAATCCTGGTAATTGAAGTTGGACAGCTAAATAAAATCTAACATTAAATGAAATTCTAAAAATGTGTTTCTTTTATTTTTTGTTTGGTTGATAATGAATTAAAAAAAAGATATTTGAATGAAAAATTCAATTTCGCAAAAACTCATATTCTTTAGCTGGACAAAAGCTATAGTTTGTTTATTCAACGGATAATAATTGGAAGCGCTAGACGCATAAAAGGCAGACGGTTCTTAATTGCTAATGAAAACAAAGCGATAATCAGTTGGGGGAATAATCACTTGACATAATAATCAGTTGGAATTTTTGCCATTGGCTACACATTAATAAGAATTGATTATCGTAATAACCAGTGAAAACACTGGTTATTTTTGATTAATAAGTCTCGATAATCAGCGATAACCAGCAATAATAGTCTCGATAATAGGTTTTAACCAGATAATAATCATTTATTCACTGATTATTTGTGATTAAAATTGTTTATATTTGGTCACTTCGCCCAGTGGTAATTATGGCAAACGTCGAAATCTTCCTCAAATAGTATAGTCTAATAATTTGCGTAATGATTTAAATCCTTATCACAAATATGTGTAGAAAGCCCCCGGGAGAAATTCCAATAACATAAATTTGAAAACCAAAAATGTAAGCTATAGTTTTAGTTAAAACAAAAAACTGTGTATTTCTCTGGTAAAGCACAACCAGCTTTAAGTATATTCTTAAATTCCGAGAGTACAACGATTATACATAATTTAATACCAAAGTATTCATGCTATACAGACTATTCCATCTATTGTCAAGCGTCAACGCTGAAATCGAATAAATATGTTTATGATGTTATCACATTAGGTTATGGTTATTAAAATGATTTTATTTTCCGAATCAAATGGTGTGGATACTATGGTAACTGTGTTTTTCTCACGTGCGGCAACCCGTAATATAACCCATTTAAATCTTGTTTAGTAGTTTTGAAACACTCGTTTTTCATTATTAAATACTTCCTTACATATTTCATAAAAATGATCGATGTATTTACTATTGTATATGACTTGGATGCACAGTGCAGGTGTAAAAGGGTAGGAGGTCCTATCAAATTATGGTCCTACTCTCCATTGATTTATATGGTGACCTAAATACAACTCTTTCCCTTATTATTGTATCCACAATCAGGGCCAGTAAGGGCCTTTAAGAAAGGGGACCATAATCCCCAGGGGACCATAATTTCTTTTACACCTGGCCCTTTACACTTTGAGCAATGAAGCAGACACTGAACCTCGGGTGTTGTCCATGAAATGGGTTTGCGAACAATCGTGGTAGTGACTAAATATCAGGCATATATACTTACTTTAAAACTAGGAAAACGAAAAGGGCGACTTTTTACACCGTGGGCAACATTCTCCCGGCAAAATATCTCTGCTTATTACACCAAAGAGGCAGGTTTGGCAACGTATGTTTTCGCAAGGATCTGAAATATTAAAGACAAATTGTCGATAGTGCCAGGTAAAAAGGGGAAAACGTTTTGTCATCGAGAAAAGGGTTGACCAGGCATGCCTGTAGTGTCTGTTGAAACTGCACATTTTGCAAAGTAATTATAAGTCAGTTGTCGAGTCTGGGTGTTTTCATAAGTTTGAAGTAACACAAATGAAAGGCAGATATGCATTGTTTCTACATTTAAACATAAACATTTTATAGTGCTCATCTTATATTAAATATAATCTTCCTATATATTAAAATATATGTTAAGGAAAGTTGGAATATATACTTCTGAGACAACCCTCGTATTTGTTTGTCTGAAAAGCGAACTCATAAACGAATATGAACTTGTAGAGGCCGAGCTTACTTGGTTCACAGACTTGACAACAGTCTTTGGTCACAAAACCATAACTACAACGCACCATCGGACATAACACATCATCACATTCTAAAATAGGAATACATAATACATATGTTAATCAATTGATCGACTTCCCTTAGAAACAAGAAGACGAGTCGCAGATCAATATTATAAAATGGCTCTAGGTGGACCACGTGCAACGACGTGCAACACAAATATAATTACCATTTTGACCAAGTGCAATTAATAATTTTGATCTGAAAAGCAAAACTATGAACAATGGTTGTGTAGCCAGAGTGTGCGATGGGTGGGATCAACACCCCCCCCCCCCACACACACACACACACCAATAAAAATATAGCCATGAAATGGTTAGAAAAGAGCATTAAAATGCTTTTTATTTTAAGCTTCTACCTTAATTTTGAAGGAAGTTGCATCAATTTAGTAAAATTCTCAATTTGGGGATTGTTTATGCCACAATCGCACCCACCCAAACCGACTACGCCCCTGTTGTGTATCTCCATTCTGATACTCATAGCATCTTTCTGTTTCACCTGAAACATCTCAGGACTGAGAAGATTTGAGATGTCATGGTTTATCATGATGTGTAATATCAGCAAACAAAATATATCAGCACTTTGCAACCTTTTGTATACACCGTCCGTTTATGATCTAATCCGCAGTAATAAACTTGATGACATTACCACGGAATATAACTGACCATTTCAGTAAAAATGGTGACCTTACCCTACGGAAATGGAGATAATGTTGCATAGCTATTTCTGAGCCCGATACAACAACGCCCAGACTCTATATAATGGGGAATAGATTTTACTTTCCAGGGGTAACATATCTTTACCTGGGCATAGTGTGGTTCTAAAGCCTTACCCCCCTATCACACTAAACTAGTTCCTACCCGTTCTTGCCAGTCCTACGAAAACGTCGTAAAACGGGCTCAATCTGACTGTGGTCGGGAAATATGTCTGAAATAATTAGCTTCTTCGTTCTTAAACAGTCTTCAATACGTCCATCTCGTTCGCAGTTCGTTCAGGTCGCACCACGTCGGTGTGCAACGTGGTAGAACGCGTCCCTTAGTCTAGAAGGTCAACATGACCTGATTACAGAACGGTATGGTCGTCATCGAATTTTGAATTGATTCAAAATTCTAAAATCACATTCCCGTCTGAGAACGTTCATAAAGTTCGTAAATAGACCTTAGAAAGTTGCAGCTACGTTCATTCCGTTCGCACACAGTTTAAAGCCAGTTTTGAAGAACGCAGTGGCAACTTGTTTGGTGTGATAGCTATATTGTTGCTATAACTCGTTCATAAGCAGTGTTAAATATGTTCTTAATCAGTTTAAACCCGTTTGCAGTTAGTTCTACCTTGTTCTCAACACGTCCTCAGACAGTTTAACTCGTTGTTAAAACGTCCCTAGTAGGATTGAAGTACGACGGTTCCTTTTATAGTACGTCCAGCTCGTCGTTAGTACGTTGTCACTCGTTCTAATTGTAGAACGTGACCACCACGAGAACATTTTGAGCATTGTCTAAGTTCTAGAGGACCTACCCGTTCGAGTATGTTCGATGAAGTTTGTAAATAGATCCCACACGGTTCTTAGTAGGTCCGGTCCGTTCGTATACAGTTGAAGCCCGTTTTCGAGAACGCAGTGAGAACTAGTTTGGTGTGATAGTAGGGTTAGCGTTTAACCTCCTTTTGTTTACATTCGCCAAACAGTAAAAAATTAGAGAAGTTGTCATAACTTTTAAAACCTCGATAATTGGAACCGAGTCCTCTTATAAGTAACGGGTATTTCGGTTATACACGAACTGAGCATGTCAGTGCGCAGTTTCATTTTTACTGAAATGATCATTATATTCCGTGGTAATGTCAACAAGTTCATTACCGCGGATTAGGTTCGGACGGTGTATAAATACGTTACCATCTTCGCAAGGTGATTTGACACATCGTTCAGTGGAACTTTGTTTTGAATTGCCTGTACAGGTTCCTCTATACCCATTGATAAATTGTTTAGTCCTTGTCCTTGATCTACTCTTTGTACCAGAGCCACATGTCACAGAACATTTCCCAGACCTCCAAGGACTCCATGAACTCCATCTACAACCTTGAATCAGAAAATAAAACGTTAAAGGTCAGATGAAAAGAAAAGTGGACTTTGACCATGTATTCTAGACGTTTTTGTATTGATACTAGACATAGAATAAATGTAACAACGTTTGTAACTTGTCCGTTTACCGTTATGCCTTGCATGGTCACATATGCTCCGATTTTCACTACGGCGCCCGGCCGATACAATATTGAACAAAACACTCAATCGGCCGGGCGCCGGCCGATGGATCGGAACATATGTGACCCAGGCATTAATTGGCATTAGAAGTTGGAGGTTTGAAACGAGACTTTTTCGAGACTTCATGGCATTGATGGGCCAGGATGGAGTGTGTTAAGCTCTTTATTGCCACTCATTTTTCTCTCTAGAGGTGCGGTTTACCTTTCTGGCAGGGTGGGTTGTCGCAGCTCAGAGTGAAACTCTCCTGTGAGTTGCCTGTACAGCTTCCTGTATATCCAATGATAAATTGTTTAGACCTAGTGCGTGTTCGACGTCTTTTACCAGAGCCACATGAAACAGAGCATTTGGTCAATATCCACGGACTCCAACTTCTCCATTTGCAGCCTTTAAATACAAAGACATCAATTTTAAAAGAGATTATGACCTGACAAAGTAAAGTAACTTTATCACTGCTTTATAGATTATAATGAGTCTATTAAGTGGATGCACCATAATGCGCGACTAATCACTCATCTTCTAGATAGGACGTTATTTGTGTTGTGTAATTGAAAACTAAAATCAGTTTTGTTTGTTTTAAGAAAGGATGAATCTACTAAAAATGTTTAAGACCATAGACGTTTTTAGCTCATAATAGTAACATATTTGCGTTTTGCATCTAAATGCCATTAGTATAATTTTAAGGAAAGTAAACATAATCAACTAAAGTTTTGAATACCGACAGTATCGATTTCTAAAGTACATGTTTCATGTTTTGCGTTTGAATAAAGTAACGACTGACTCACCTGGTGGACATGGTGGATTTTCGCATTTTTCAGTAAACATTTCTTGTGAGTTTCCTGTGCAATTTCCTGTATATCCATAGCTAAACCTTTTATTCCTAGTGTGAGATCTACTTCGGACTCCGACACCACACGATACAGAACACTGAGTGTACGTCCACTGATCCCAAGGGTCCCACTTACAACCTGGTACCAAAGAATAAAACCATTATTTGAGCATTATTGACTTTACAACGTTGTATTCATCTATCTTGATATCTTTAGTCTGTAGACATGTGAAACATTTGTAGCTGTTTTGAGTAAATTACATGTCAAATGTAAATATGTATTAAAAATGAAAATAATATATAATCTTAACGAAATGAGAGTCAACTTGAACCAACAAATCTGCTGCAATATAAAAAAGGCTATGTGTCAAGAAAATCTACTACAGAGAGCTCATTATCTCGTCCACGCACCGCAATAATGAGGCCTCTGATGCTATGTTGAAATAAAAGAGGATATACCTGGTATTGGAAAGTATATAATTAAGAAAAGATTTCATTAAGTTTATGATACCGATTTCAACAATCTCATATTTCCAATTTTCAAAAATTGATATTTTCTCAGTATTCTTTTCTTTTTAGAACATAAAGCGCTTGAGTAAGGGAACATTGGGCAAAACTGCCCTAAAAATTTAATTTTAAGTTGTTCCGTATGGGGTATTTTCTTATCTGTCAACCATCTACTTTATTAATTGGTTATGGTTTACATTTTTAGAGTGTTTTATACTTGCCTAGGACTATCTTCTTTTTCAATGGTCAAAAAGACTCGTCCACACACATCTTATCTCGGACGTTCAAACCTTTGACAGATAAAGTATTTTCAACCCCTACCATAATTCTAGTTATTCGATATGTGTCGGAATGAAACAAGGTACAAACCAAATGTTAAAATCGTTATATTTGAAAACAAACAAATAAAGAATAAATATGCATACTCTGTGTAAAATGTTAATTCAAAAAGATATTCTATTGTTGCCGGATTTTGTAGAGAATCTCGTGGGAGAGGTAATTTGCAAAAAAAGAGATTGAAAAGTAGAATTACCTCTTACGTAAGGCAAGACGCTGCTAAGTTAAAAAAGGGCTGTCGAGAAGGTGGCAGAAATTTCATGTGACTTTTGAAGAACCATCTTTTCATAATTCAAAAGATATTTCGATGGGCCATTTTGCCCCACAGGGCCGTTTTGCCCCATGTTCCCTTACTCCATTAAATCTTGTATCAATTAGGCAGATAACCCCTAATACACAGAAACCATAAACCCATGAAAACATAGAAAATGTGCTTCTGGAATGAGAATGGACTTACCTGGCTTGCACGGTGGGTTCACGCATCTTTCGGTGTAAGCTTCTCTTGAGTTGCCCGTACACGTGCCTGTATATCTAAAACTATACTCTTTACCCCTTGTGCGAGATCTACTCCTTATTCCAACACCGCATGATACAGAACATTTGGTGAATTTCCACTGGTCCCATGATTTCCACCTACAACCTAACATCACAAAATTATACAAAATCAAACATAATCGGTTTACTCCCAACGACAAAATATACTAAACAATCTGATTGCATGGACTTCGAGTGTTCAATTTTCAACTTGTAGCACAGATACATCATTTTAGTAATTGGACGTCAACAGTTTGTAGCCATTTAATTGATAATATCTTGTTAAGTTAATGAAAACACAGAATGGAATTCTGAGCTAATTAAGGGCTGATGTGAAAAGCCAGTCCACCCTATTGGGGATCGAACACACGACCATTCGCTTACAAGGCGGTTGCTTCAGATTGTCTCATTAAACATGATAGCTTACTGCTTTTGGCGAAAGTGAAATCTACTATCTCATACAAAGCGATTGTTAGAATGGAGATGCATTACAAACTATGTTATTTCATATGGGAATTAACAACAGAATAAAATGTGGTATTCATTTAAAGAAAATAGGATTTGTCAACCTGGCTGACATGGTGCATTATCACATCGTTCAGTGTAATTCTCTTCAGATCTCCCTAGACAGAGTCCCCTATATCCATTGATAAATTGTTTAGTCCTTGTGCGTGATCGACGTTTGCTACCGTTTCCACATGACACGGAACACTTGGTAGATGTCCATGGACTCCAATTGTTCCACCGACAACCTTACAGCACAGAAATATCACAACTGATAGCTATAGTAATAATTATGATATCCTTTGAGGAACATCGCTTTTATCTACCAGTATATCTACCGATGTACCAGTCTATCAATAGATAATATCATATGTTTTCTTTATTTTTTATACATATAGTACCAATAGAGGAAAATAAAACATATACAACAAGTGAAAAGCCAGTCACTAAGTTTAATTTACCTTCATCATCTGATTATTAACACTAATGTCTGCATTAGGGTTAAAGATTTACCTCGAAAGCATGGTGGATTGTCACATCCTGCAGTAGAAGTCTCTTGTGAGGGGCCTACACAGCTGCCTGTGTATCCACTGATATATTGTTTACTCCTAGTGCGTAATCTACCCTTTATACCAGCTCCGCAAGTTACTGAGCACCTAGTTTCTCTCCATGGACTCCAGTTGGTCCATCGACAACCTGGCGGTGCAGGAATGAAGTGTGTAAAAGTTGGACATTCAAGAAGATTAAAAACCTAAGGGCATCATCATCACTAGATCCACGTTATATTAGGAGAGAGATGGTCTGGCAAGGAATATACCTTTTAATATGCAATCAATTCCTTACCTTTACCAGGTGGTATATAAGTTGGGCAGTATGTATATCGTTGGTACTCGCATGGACATGTAACCTTGTATAACTCAGGTAGACGTGGGCGTGTGGGCGCTCTGTACGATTGCTCCGGTCTTGTATAGATACTATCTGCATCGTCAACATAAGGGGCTTGATAAACATTGTAAATTGCAGTAGGACATTGACCGTATGTGGGTTGTCCTCCCTTGTATCCTTGGAAACATTCAATCGTACACCGACGTCCATTTGCTGTGTAAGCGGAAGGTTGATATCGTTCACGTCCTCTTGCTTTTGGGCGACGAGTTGGAAAGTAACCAGCATACGTTGGTCGGTAGTTTCTAGGGTTGGAAGATCTTTGGGTGTTATAGTGACTGTAGTAGTCACCAAAGTAGTAAGCCTGATCCCGACCTTTGTAGCTGACACCATATGTTTCAAGATAGACTCCGTTTACGCCATAATCTGGGTTCCCATATACAGCCTGGTCACAGTAGATCACTGCTGGGATGAATACAGTACCCTCTCCGCAGTCACCTGACTTTATAAATGGCTTACATCGGTTGTCTGATTTATCACAATATAAATGTGCAGATTTGCCGCAGTTTGGACACGTTGGGCGCTTATCACATTTATAATTATTTGACGTAATAAGTGTACTCAGTCCTTCAATGTTGCGTATTGGCGAGACCCAGTTACTGAATGGCTGCATATATGCTTGGGGATGATGCGGTGGTTGTCCAAAGTTACTTGGGTACTCTGTGGCAAGAGGTGTCACTTGGCTGTTTTCTCTAAACTCTTCCCATATGCAATCAATAAACGCATGGTGCATGAAGAAAAGGGGATCATTAGGTGAGTGATGAATGTCCCCAAGATGTCCACCTACATACGAATGGGCTTTCCCATGAATATTTTCCAACAGTCTGCAAGCGGTTGAACCGCATGCTATCTCATCATATCTGCTCTTGGACAATACAGTCATGATATCAGCTGGCGTAGTTAGTTGATTTGGGTAGTGTTGAACAACACGTCTAAGCTTTGTTCCATCAGTGGCCATCCAGTTAGCAAATGGTCCTTCTGTAACGTCACCATCTCCATTTCCCACAAAAGCAGGACTCCAGAGACTAGACAAGTGAGGCATGGGTATACCTTGTTCAATGGTTGAGTCCCAATAGAGTAAGGAAACACCTGGCTTCTTTTGTCTTAATGCAATTTCATACCTGACGTGTAATATAATGTTAGTGTTTAACTATAAATACACCTTCATTCTATTAAATGGTCATCGCTATTTAACGTGCGATATTTACGCTTTCCCTCTTTTATCGAATAATGCACAGATGCAATAGAGTATACAACACTGTTACGTTAACCTCAGTTTAAGAAACTGCATATACTTTTGTGATGTAAAAAATATAAATAATTTTTCCCAACCATATGACGAAACTTAATACATACATTAGCAAATAGATCCTATGCCATGGTAGAAAAGCTGCTCCACCGTGTGCTCCCAATGCCACAGATCCATGGTGAAATGAAACAAGGGTGTCGTAATCGCCACTAGCCTTTAACAAGTTGATGGCTTGGTGGAAAGCGTTTCGTTCAGCGTCTGTTGCTACACGATATTCCTTTCTATGGGGTAACACAGGACTGCTGCGTTTCGTCGGTGGCTTTGAACATGAAACCAAAATAGTTTAGTAATTTAATAAGTTTAATGTATTGTTCGTTCGGTAGGTTCAGGTCGTTAGTACCAATGCATTGGTCGCGCATCAATGTGATTTTTCAGGTTTTCGTTATAATTACAAGACATATTGCCAATCAAAGTTAAGTGTGGAACATTATATTATGTCGACGAAGTAACTAGATGTTGCAGTGACGTCGATGTATTCTACGGAGGTAGATTTCAAACTTACGCGGATTGCTCTAATCACTTCTTCTATAAGTCCTTTTAACCAATTCTTCTGGTTTTCTGTAAATTTTGATCCACGCCCTGTCTTGTTTGCCGCGCTTGACAACCATTGGTACATATGATCACATTGCCAGGTATACTGCTGCATACTCAATCCTAGAGTGTAAAGTTATAGGGGAAGAGAAATCTTAAAGAATTGCCCTTTCTCTTCGACAATATTACCCTTTGCTATACAAGAGGTGTGAATCTCGTTCCACGCCCTGTCTTGCCGTGCTTAAAAACCTTTCGTAGATACATAAGGGTTATGTACTGGGAGGTTTTTGGATATGGGGTTTATCCAGAGGGAGATATGCATATCTACCTGAGGGACCGTAGGGACCGAAGGTAGATGTGCATATCTCACGAGGGATGAACCCAATATCCAAACCGACCGTACATAACTACTTTATCCTATACCAAGTAGAGTTTTCAGGGGCATATGGCCATTTCAATAGTACAAGGTGTAAAAATAAACAAATCATTCATATGCAAAGTCATTTTATTGCATTTTCACTACTTACCGGAAGCGGGAAGATATGCACCGAAGCAGGAAGATATGCACCGAAGCGGGAGATATGGCGGGAGATATGGAGGTTCTGGATATGGAAACCTCAAAATCAGGATACGGGATATATCTTACCAGCTTATCTCCCTAAAACTCTACTTGGCATAGGATAAATACTTCTACTTACCGGTATATGCATTTTCCCGTCTAAGTTCCTGGTAGGAGTCGGCGCATTCCGTTCTACTGTACGTCGTATAGCCACCGAGGCATGGGCCTGTGTAGTCTTCCACCGATTGATCTGACCGCGCGACGTGGACGCTTAAAAGCAGGATAACTAGTCCCGCTAGATCTATCAACACCATTTTCCTATTATAATATTAAGTTATTATATACCTCGTCCCCACCAGGTTATAAAGACGTTACGTCTTTTGGTCATTCCACATACATACGTCCCCATCGGATTATAAAGACGTTTCGTCTCTCGGTCATTCCACATACATACGTATAAGGCATCATTCGTGCCGCCAAGTGTTTTTCCCAAACGTCAACACATATACAAATGATTTTTGCGAACGTGTGTTAATTAGGACCAGTACCCGCTTGTACATCCACCAAATGGCAAAACAAAAATTATAAGTGATAAAGGTCTCATTTTTTAATTCAAAAGATGAGGATTTTAAGGTTCGTTACAACATTTAACAAAATTTTGTCATAGCACGATGGATTTAGTGACATTCTATACGATGCTCCCCTACCTTCGTTTGACCTGTTATATTGCTTTATTTGATCTTCATATGAAAAACCTCAGGTACGTTGCCTGCCACCAGGACGTTACCTGGTGAATTTCATAACTTTGTTAGTTTTCAATTAGCAGCTGGTCGTATCCTAAATTTTAAATTGCGCGATCGAGTTTGGGAATCATTTGATGATATAATAGTCAATATTCGTAAGATCTTTTAAAGTGATTGTGAAAAAAAGAAATCAATTTTTAATTTTAAAAACTTACTGTATCCGTTCAAAGGATGTCGTCAGGTGTGAGGATTTGCTTATGCAACTTATTTTTATATGAAAACATAGAAATAATTCAAAAAGAGTATATATTCTAGTTTTATATATTTGTTTTATATACTTTATGGTACCACATTGAATAGAATATATCATATATATTCATTCACGGTTAAAAGAAAAGTACAATATTTTACTTGAACAAAGCAAATGATACATTCAAATGAACATTTTAGCCTGATGAAATATAGAGTTTGGACATACTTATAGATAAACTAATTAATTAATCCAGTTTTACCGCAAATAAAACAACATAGATTTTATTTAACAATAAGCCTTGAAATTGAAACAATAATTCATTTAATTCATATTCGCATATTTATGAGCTAAGCAGCAAGTGAAAAATTAGATGATGCGAATGTGTTTTCGTTATGAAGATCCCAGCATATCCTGGTTGCAAATAAAGTATACACAGGGTGTCATAAACAACGGCACCCCCTCTACAGCAAAAATAACTTTACCTGGTGTGGCATATCCCATTTTAAAGACAATTTAATTTTAGAGTTTCCTGTGAAATTTCAGCGTTGTGTCATAAAATTTGACAGATTTACACCCGATTGTTAGCAGTTGGTATGGCAACCACTTGCTGTTCGAACACGCCATGTAACCAAGCAGTGGAGGGGGTGCCGTTGTTTTTCGACACCCTGTACATGAAGCGGTGTACGGGGGTTGCTATGTATAGCTAAATAAAGCGGAATAAATAGATGTTATGGTTTGGCCAGAATGCCATAGACTTCAAAAGTAAAAACTTGGCAATAGTCACTTAATTTACATGATTTATCAAAAAGTGTTGGTTGAATAGTCTATTTCAATTCTGCCAATTCGTTTTGGCCTATTTATCACTATTGACTCAGTTGTTCATCTAGTTTTACTTACCTTAGATGCTTAGTAATCTATTTAGTATAATTTTGTTTCCAAAATTATTGTCATTTGCGATAATTAGTACTAAAAGTACTTTGAACAGGTCAGCTGCCATTTGCTTGGCTGATCGTACCAGTCCACAAAAACAGTGAAATCATATTGAAAATACCAATTAAACTTTAAAAATTGAGGCAGATGCGATACAAAAAGACTCTATTAATACAGATATACAGGTTACAGTCACCAAGATGAGCTAATTTCAGGCGAGATTCGGGAAATAAAAAGGTAGGTCATTCTTGTTTCCAGTCCTCTAAATAATCTATGCTCCGGCTTTCGCCAGAAACTTACTTGACGTCCGTGGTGGCAACACTGTTACAATTTTCGACAGTGGTTGTCTCTCAGTTAAATTGTCATTAGAGCCATTAGGTGGGGTCATGCTTCAAGCATTCACGTAAAAAACTTCAACAGAATCGGCTCAACTGCTTCTCAAGATCCCACCAACAATTTGCCATGCTCATCAAATACCAAATACGAATAATCAAAATCGCTCTGTTACTTTTCAAGAAATGGCAAAAAGCATACAATAGCATGTAATGACCACCTTTTTCAAAATGGCTGCTATTCTTTTTTGAGGAGGTTTTAAGAAAATTAACTTCAATCCCCCCCAAATTTCTTTCCAAACAACCCCGATTTTCATTGTTAACGTTAGTTTTACGTGACAGGTATAGTAGCCTAGTTTGCCAAAGGAATGATTTAAAAAGCAAACCCTACGGCAGGGGCCCCAGTGCCCAGTGCCAGTGCTACGGGGCTCACTTTCTTTGAAAATATGGGCTCATTTCCTAAGAACCTACCCATATCTGCCAGTGTCTTTTAAGGCACATTATTATAATTTGCGGAAGTGTATAAATTCTTGATATTCAATTAACTTTTTTTTAATTTTCTCTTGGGGAATGCTTCCATGGATTGTTGTTCAATCTTTATTTATAGATGTCGTGTCATGTCGTGTAAGTTAAGATAGCTTTATGTTCGTTTTACGTTGTATTTAGATTTATAGATGTCTCTGCTTTGATAATCCCTAAAGTGTCAATCAAGTTTAGCCTCGTTTTCAACAACACTGATCGAGGGAGAATCAAAAAGGAAAGACGTGTGTTGTTTCGCTGTTGACAAAAAGCTGGATTTCGATAGAATCACATATGCGAGTCATATTATTTTGTGAGCATTGCACAATACAGTGAGTAATTCATGTAATGGTCGGTTAGTGTTCGTGCATTCGAGTTTCTTGAAGATTTGGAAATTAAAAAGTTATAAAGACAAAGTTTGACAATCAAGGAGTTGTAAAAAATATTCTGACATTTCTACAGTCAGTAATAAAATGGAGCAATGAATATGAAATTCATATCATGACATATATTTTCACAATACTAACTTGTTTATGAATTCAGAGTTCTGAAATCACAATCGCATGCAAAATCTGAGGATGTACAAGTATCAGAAAAGCGCAAACTAAGGTTTTATAAACTTAAAAAGTGCAATTATTTACACACCTGGAAAGTGCAATACCACACATAATGGAAACCAAGGAAGGAGACACATATTCTACGTACAAACATATAGAATCTCCAACGCCAAACTCTGCATATGATTTCGACTCAACACCAGATCTGAGCCCGATGGATAAAAAACTTGCGGAACTTCATCATCAAATTTTTAAACCATTACCAGCTGTGAATCCTCATTTAGAATTCAACAGTAAAAATAAGTGTTATTGTACAATGACTACACCAATCGCTATACTATGGACATTATTATCTGTGATGGTCGCGGGAACATGTACATTCAGTTTCATGCAACCATTTTGGGTAGTCCACCCTAAAACATTCGACTCGCTTGGGATGTATACCTATTGTGTACAAGATAAGGAGTTTATAAACGAGTCAGGGATCACACAAACATGTGGGATTTATGGCGGTGATTATTTCTCATTTAGTAAGATTCCATCCAGCTCTTGGCAAGCGTCAAGTGTTCTTTACGGAGGGGGCTGCTTGTTCTTATGCATGGGGGCCTTGTTCGCAACAATAAGCCTGTGCTTACCAAATACTTGGAACAAAAAGCTAGCAATATTTAGTGGATATGTACAGTGTGTAGCAGGTGAGTAAATGTACATTTTTCTTTAGACAGCATCCAGTATCCATGGCAATTGTAAGGGCCTATAAGACTTGTGAAATTGTTGAGGAGTATCTACCTGCATCTTCATCTCAAAATGATGTTTTTATTTGGGCTGTGAACCACTTGTTATCATCTTCATCCTTAATTTATCATCATTATGGTATGTTATCATCATTAGCATCATTCACCAATATTAATTACTTACTATGGCCTTGGTTTGTGTATTCTTGATGTAGAAAAGACAGATACAGTCAAAGAAGAAAGCATGCAGTAACCTGTTTCTGCTTCTGAAATCTGTTTTACTTTCCCATATTCTTGTAACCCTAAGGTTATCCAGTATCAGGTATTTGACCCAATGCTCCAAGACATATCAATTTCTGCAAGTGGCTGGCTTTGTATGTGAACCATCTTGAAGGCAAGCTGCTGTGAACTGGTATATTTTTTGTTGGTTAGGAATGGTTTTGGGGGGTTTAACAGGTTTCCTGTACAAGTTTGAACTGTCATTCTTAATAATTTAATGTAGGACTGTCATTTGTACATTTTCATTGTTTTTAAGGAATTAAAAATTTAGAGAGAGATGGAAATGAGATTTTTATTGACGGCATCACTTTAGACTTAAAATGATTAAGTTTTATAAAACTGGATTTGGTTTCAGGAAAAACATAAACAATCTTTACAACACAAACAACCGAAATTCACAAACAATGCAATGTTCAGTTTCATTAACTTTGCAGAAAAATCCAATGCTGTGGTGGAGTATCTTCTACAATTTATCAAATGATGAATACTTGGGAACATTCTGCATATCTGTGTAGTTCCAGGGGAACAGAAAATCACTGGTCTGAAAAATATCAAATCAAACCTATCAATTAGTCATTTGTTTACCTGATTTATTTGCTTTCTATTACCTTTCATATCAACCTAGTCTATTTAACAGATTCCTCTACAACCTATCTAATATCAATGGTTAAGTTTAGTAGACTATTGCTATTTGGGAAATAGACAATAATTGAGGATAGCAGATATCATAATTAAGGGATATTTAATAAATGGGATTGGGACAGGTATCCCGGAAAACAGTCATGAGAAAATATCTTGATATTTATTTTAGATGTTTTATAAGGATGAGTAACCCTTTATATAAATCTATTGCATGACTATCCCTTACAAATAAGTATCACTAAAAATGTTAAATGTCCGAAATATTGAAATATTTTTGGTTGTTTTGGTCCTATCATACACACATCTTACGAAATGGACAGTCTTTTTTAAAGGTTTTCACTGTGGGTGTTTTCATCAAGAACTCAAAAGTATGGCATTATTTTTATTTTTAAGGGTTGTCATATCATCTTGCCTTTTTTAATTGTTATCTATTGATTTTTGATAAAAGTGTCTTGGAGGAAATCTTAATTATCAGATTAGACAAAAAGACAGCTTATTCCCATGGTCTGATGGTCATAACTTGGCTTCTCCTGAGATTTTCTTAACTATCCGATATTGATAAGTCATATTGTACCTTTCAAATTAGATTTTATCAGTTAATATATATTTTCTTTTATATATTTATTTTGACATACACTTTTGTAATAGCGGCACACTATTATTAGGTGCATCAGTATTTGTAATCGACATATATATTTTATTAGCGCTAAAAATGTTTACATAAAATACTACAATTTTCTAGGGTTTCACTTTGAGTTTAAATTCTAATACAGAATATGAATAATTTTGCTCAAAATAGAAATTGCAGTTTATGAAAATAGAAAAATGTTCAAGTTACAAACAGGTTAAAACTTTACTGGATCCCAAAATCCCCTACTCCAACTCATTACCCAAATCTATAGAACTTTAGAAAAATATGACCAGAATAATGAATTCATTACAGTGTGTCAACCTCAGATTGACTCTCTCACAAAGGGAGTTTGAATACCTCATATTTTCATACTAAAAATCATTAAAATTGAGATGTCATATTTTGAGAAATAACAAAACCGAATACGAAACAATAATGCAGTCAAAAGTGCATTTTTAACATTGTCTTTAATATTAGTATTCTACCATGGTATACATCCTCTTTGAAATGACTTCAAAACAATCTACTTTTGTGCGATCTTTTTATATATTTAGTGCAAACTTTCACCCCATAGATGTGAGTTTAATCTAGACATACTTCGTTTGTGCACATCTTTGGGTCTTTGTCAGGAGAGAATTACTTGATATTTAAACAACCCTTACAAAATTATTGAAAAAATCTGTTATTAATAGAGATGTTTGCCCTTGCAATTATTATAACAAATTCATTATTTTGCTAAAGTAAGTTATGCTAAGAGCCATATAATCAAGGGATAAGCACATTTTCACAAATTCACAATATTTTGGATCTTATTCTTTTAATATCACAATTCATGATGAAAAGGTGTTATTAAAAGGGTTGAAGAACACAAGAAAACTACAATTTTATGATTTGCAGACTTGTAGGACCAAACATACTTTGTAAAGGTGAAGGTTTGGGAAACCTGAATTATATAATTACTTTTCTTGCAAGAATAAAGATATAAATTACATAGAAACCAACATAAAACTTACCTGATATTTACAATGTGCTATTAATTATACATTGAGCCTATTTCTCTGACAAACCCATAGTAAGGGCGAAGAGTGATGGAATTAGTATTTTTATGAAATGAATGAGATGCTTGCATCAAGACCTTTTAAAACCCATAAGGTGGGGTGTATAGATGAGGTGACGGTGAGGTGTGTAGATGAGGTGACGGTGAGGTATATAGATGAGGTGACGGTGAGGTGTGTAGATGAGGTGACGGTGAGGTATATAGATGAGGTGACAGTGAGATGTGTAGATGAGGTGACGGTGAGGTATATAGATGAGGTGGTGGTCACAATGTGTTCACCTCATTTATTAAGTTTGATCCACTTTCCTTCAGTGGAGATATATGATGTTGTGGTGTGGGGTGACTTGGTATGGTGTGGGGTGACTTGGTATGGTATGGTATGGTATGGTATGTTAATGGTATGGTATGTAAACATGTTAGGAGGTCACAGGGGCTCAGTGCAAAACTATTCTTGCACTCATCCCTTATTGCAATTAAGATCTTCAGTGTGTTCTCCAGCCTGAACTGCAATTCTCACAGGTTTTGATAAAGAGGTACTCTGAATCAGGATACCATTCTCTGATTGCCAAGGAAGAAGCTACCACGATTCATATATTGAGTATTCTATTTAAATATATTTGGTATCTGAACTATGTTGGTATCTGACAGAAGGAGAAATGTTATTATAATATTGCATAGTATGGTTATGCATTAACATGTAATTATGACCACTTGTAGAACTTCAGTGTTGCATCAAGTATTTCATAAATCTATATTATTCAAATTCTGGTCTCATATTAGATCAAGAAGTGTTCAGTTGGCATCTTATGCCTTTTGTTATGTAAAGCTAAGCATTCTTAAAGGTAACTAAATTGTAACTTGTACCTTAGTCAGGGATAATGATATTCTATAGCCCCATATCCAGGAGTTCATGGAGTTCAAACCCTTCCTTTGGCCAAAATTTATATTAAAATTAGGTAGTTTTTCACCTTTTTAGCACTTTTTAAGCAATTGGTGGCCAAAATTATATTTGTCAAATTTGAAACCCCCCTTGAAATTTTTAAAAAATTTAAAAATTTTGGAGGCTTTGCATAATTGATGAATAATATATTTATATCTTTCATGTAGACAAGTGTGTTTTCCACTAAATACCTTCATTTCACAAAGATATTCTTCAAAACAAATTGCAGCAATTAATTCCAGTTTCAACACATCAAGTGTAAGTACTTGGAAGATCCTGTTCAAAGGGGATGCCACTCTTGCTGTGTTAACACATTTCTCTCTCATTTGAGATAAGACTTTTCCACTATACTAAACATAAGCAGAGAGTATAGTTAATCTGAACCGAAAAACGAGCGTTTTTATATTTTTATCTTTATTAATACAAGTATAAGTGAAACTGTAAAATATGCTAAAACGTCATCAACCCCACCCCACAAATATTTTATTTATTTAAGTGAAACTGTAAAATATGTATACTTAGACGTCATCAACTCCACTCCACAGACATTTTATTAATTTAAGTGAAACTGTAAAATATATAATATGCTAAGACGTCATCATCTCCACCCCACAAATACTTCTTCAATAAAAAAAAATATAAATAAAAAAATGACTGAAATATTTCTCATTCGAGTGTCACGGTATTTCCAAACATAAAATTTCTGAAAGACACCAGAGGTGTTACAAAAACACCTTTTACTAAAAGAGCCATTAAAACAAGGTGCCAACATAAAATGCTTCAATAGGCCTGGGATGAATGGGGGAAGCATGCCTAGCCATAAAGTCTCCTGGGGTACAGCTCTTCAGATATAGTACAAAGAACGAGGGGGTTGAAACCTGAAAAGATTTGCGTAAATTGACGACTTGAGTTTTTGATTTGTGTAACGGTACAAAGAAATCAATTTACATCAAGTTTATATTATTTTGAATATGTATTATATCTGAATATGATTTTAAACAGGGGTATGTCTTAATTTGAAATCTCTCAAGATCAATCTATTAAATTGTTGAAATGAGAAGAACATATTTGAGAAGGCGCTTTGATTGTTTATATGGGTGAGCCACTCACAGTGGCCCATTCATGCTTTGTGTGCCACTTTGAAACGTGGAGACAAGGAGTCGCCTCAAATCTCTGCACTGTTTAACCCTTTGAAAATTAAATTATCATTAATATTTTTTGTAAACTAGAAATGGCTCATTTAGTTTCCTGTGTGCTTTAAGTGTTGCCACTGGTTGATTTTATCCACTTCAGTGGAAAATTATTTCAGTTTGTCCTTTTTAAAGTTTGTGGTTTTATTCAGTACTTCTATAATTATTGTTATTTATAGAATTGGTGAGACCAAAACATTTATAAATACATTTTTGTTTTGA